TAACAGGCTGTCTCAACAGATTTGTTGATCTGAAGACGGTATCAGTAGCCAGACACCAAGCACTTAAATAAAAAAGAGGTAAAAGAGCAGCTAACCAAGCTAAAAAAGGAGTGAAGCAAGCAGAAGATCTGGAAATCACTAACCAGATTCTTTCCTTTTGTAATTGCTCACAAGAAATTGATAGGAAAAAATTCAAAAGGATGAAGTATCAGTCATCTCCATGACTACTTTTAGCCTCCATAATCTGCATCTAGGTTCATTAAAAAGGATATGAACTATGGTCCCCAAGAAAAATAAAACTTCAGTCATTCAGTGAGTGACTAAAGCCACACATATATTTAAAAATTAACAAGAGTATTGAAAACAGATTATTTTTCAGCTCAGAATACAGAATGTTTCCCTTTCTCTTTAGTGAAAAAAAAAACAAAGCATCCCCCAACCACAGTTAATAATTTCCCACTCCCCTGTTTTGCCTGTTAAAAAAAAAAAAATTAAAAAAATCAGTAATTTGATGTGGATACACAGACTTAGTGAATAAGGCAGTCTTCCTTCACAATATCAGATGCATTAGCACTGTATTTCATGTGGTACTCAGCAGGCCCTCTAAATAAAGAAAGCCTGAAACACCCTTCAGTACTGCACTGTCAATGCAGACAGCAAATTCTCACTAAGCTTTCATCTCTTTAATTTATGACACACAGTAGCAGAAAAGCAAAATATAGAAAGCTGCTGATTTTCCGGTGCATCCATCAATCATCAGTGCATTCACCTCAGTATTTCCACAGCTGAATTGTGAATAGGGATCATGATTTGTCTGCTGTTAAAAAAACTTCCAGGAAGACAAATAAAACCATGCAAAAAGCTAAACAAATCTAGCTACTTTATAGCTACATCATCCTGTTTTTCTAAGCTGCATACAGTTTTTGAACTCTACACTGAAATAAGCACTTGGGTGTGTCTATAAGTGTGTCTGAGGATAAGCACACACACATATGTAACAAAGGAGATACATCTATCTCCTGTCACTGGAAGTACAGATACACTAAGCCATATTTTAAAACAAATCCAGAACCTTGCTTTTGAACATTGCTATTGCAATCTGCTTTCACAGTAGCTCACCATGTATTCAGTTGTCAACATCCTTAAAAATTCAAACAGCTGTTTTTGCTTACTGTTGTCTACAGAAAATTACTGGCAGCCTTATTGTAATTTGTGGCTATTTAGGTTAAGGTGGCAAAAGCAGTCACTTTAAGGGTCAGACAGCTGAAATCTCAGTGAGGTGGAACAACAATCAGGCACCAAAAACCACTTCTGGGACAAATTTGGAATATTCTCACCACACAGGCAGCATCTGGGCCACTGAGTGACACTGCTTTACCTACTGTACAGAGTGTTTACATTGTTCAGCTGTGTTTCCCTGTCTAAAAAAACCCTTACTTGCAGTGCATAGTACAAAGAAAATCCCCATTAGATGTGTGCTGCACTTTTCTCTGTCATTGCTTTCAAGTTTTTAGGACACTATAGGATTATTTTCCAATATCTGAGACTAGATTGATCTGGATTCACCGCAGCTCCAGCTGGTATTTTACTTCCTCTATTGAAAGTGTATTAATTTGCATCAGTTGTAAGGCACATCAAGAAAATTAGTAAGCTGGGTAGCAAGAAGGTATTTTTTCTTTCAGCTCCATTCTTCCTTCCCACAGATTGTTACTCAATTGGTAGGCTCTCCCAAGTAATCCTACTGTGAGCCAACAAACATCAGCAGTGGCAGCACTGTGCCCAAGAGTGGAACCCCAATGCTTATGCAGAGCATCTTCTGGAAGCTGATGCTTGAGGAAGTAGCACAGGCCCGTGTTCAATAAATTGCATTTCTTCTACTAAGGATTAATTTAAAACAATTTCATACAAACTCTACCCAAATGATAATTGATTAGACTGTGGCTATGTCATGGGAAGCACAGGGCTGTCTCCTGCCTGCCACTTCTGTGCTGTTTCTGTGCTCAAGGCTTGGGGAACTTCTGAGGACCTCTGCAGCTGAGTGGGCTGCAAGAAATCAGGGCAGGATCTGACCTGGGAGCATTTTAGCTTCTGACATAGGAGAGATAGTTCAAACATTGGCCCTTAATAATAATCCTGAAAGAGCAGCAGCCAAACAAATCTCCCTTTATGTTTTCTTTTCATTACCAGGTAAAAAGAAGAAGAATAGTTCAAAGCCTGAAGAAAGAGCTGAACATCACAAACCAACCAGACCTTTCTGTCAGCTTTAAGGGTGCACAGCAAAAGGACATCAGCATT